TGTTTCCGACGCTATAAAAATCTTCAATATAACCGGCATGACAAAGGAACCATAAAAAAAAGATTGGAAATAAAAAAAAGTCCATGCTCAGCCCGGCCCAAAAACGCCAGGTTGACTCTAGGAAAAAATCAGCAAGCCAAAAGACGAAATCAAGTCAGCGCCGCCGTATTTACCTTACAAGTTTTAGCCCGGAGGAACTCTAAAAATCCGATAAGATACTTTTCAAAGGATAAAAACCTCAAATAGCTACAGTAACAATGATGTACAAGCAATTTAGACCAAGTTAGCTTTGATTTGTGAGGAGCTTGAGCACGAGCAACCTTCGAAACACCCCTTATCAGCGTTGCACAGGAAGTTGATATTAAATTAGAAAATAATTATTGACATGACCAAACTTTGACGCAGACAGGTCCGTTTTGCCAGAAAACGTCATAACTTGTCCAGAAAAACGTCGGAACACTTTTTGAACCATTGCCCCAAGTTTCGTGCTATTTAAGAGGCAAAAAATCTTACCGCGTTCTTCGCTTGATTCTGAAGTTATTAATGTGTCTTCAAAAATTTTTTTTGCTCAGAACATTGCAAACGCCTCAAAAATTCATATGAAATACATTAGGTTGACAGACAACAGCGGTAAAGGTGCAAAATGACTATTTCGTTTTGTCCGGATAATCCTGAGACACCCTGTATGATCCGTAGTCCTACACACGGTACGCGACAATACGCTATGATAAAGTACGATAGGGCGCGATACATTACGATACGAAACTATTTGAAGCTCAGCTAGGAGACGATACTGCGTTACGGTACGTCACAAAAAGTGCTCTACGATATGCTACACCACGAGACGATGCAAAATACTACGCCGCAGTACCGTACAATGCTGTACTCTAGGAAATGCTAAGCTGAGACACTACGACGACACGATATACTACGCCGCGCTGCGCCACGGCCCGTACGGCACGGCTCCTACGCGCGGCTACGATACGACGAGAGAGAGAGCGATAGAGAGAGAGAAAAAGAAAGAGAGAGAGCGATAGAGAGAGAGAAAAAGAAAGAGAGAGAGCGAAAGAGAGCGATACTCACGACTTACCAGTGATAATTCCGGTATGTCCAGCAAAAGTCGTTCCCTTATACATCAGCTTTCCATTCTTGATGAAATTAAGGTTGATGGTGACCTTCTTCAAGGCCTCAGTCAGCCCCCAGGACTGATCCTTGACGTCCCAGATAAAGAGTTGGCCGAAGTCGAGGTTACTAAAACACAAAGCCGTTGTGAAAATTTTGAAAAGGCTTACCGTCCATGCCACATTCCACCGGTGGCGTCCTCGGCAACGATGGATGTGCAATAACGGGACAATTCGTAGAAGACGTTCATCATCGCGATTTGTTCAACGGGGACACCGGAGGCATCGGCGATTCCCTAAAAAGTTAGTGGAGTTGCGGTTTCCGGTGTACTTGGTGGGCCATGCCAATGATTCTAGAGTATCCTACCTTATATAATTTGGGAGTGTATCTCTGTGTGTGTGTGTGTGTGTGTGGATGTCACTTTCGAGGCCCGATTTGAGGGCCTTCCCGTGTTCAAAATGCCCTAATTCTCCGTCATCCGGGGGAATCGACCCTCCTGTTTCCGATGGCGCTTTCATAATCCCGATAAAATACAAGTTTACAAAGTTAAAGCCGGTTTTATTGATTTTTGGGGGTCCGGGAGGGCTAATTTGCATAACGTGAGAAAATACAAATTTCCTCATTCTTGCCAGTTGCACTCGCGAGTTTAGTCGTCTCTTTGGATCTGCCTTTCGATGCCTTCCCCTGCCCGGGCAGTCCTCTTGAGACATAAAAGGGTGTTTACGCGTGCTGCCAAGCATTGCATGGTGTAGTGGTTAGCGCTTCGCCTTGCTAATCCAACCATCGGAGGTTCGATCCAACCATCGGAGGTATTTTAGTTGTTTTGCTTTTTGTTCGGAAAGTGCGTTTCGCAGTAGATTTCCGTGTAGGGACGTTATTATGAAATTAGTCACTCAAGCCGCAGCCTATAGAATGAAGCTACCCGCTCGCCAAGCGCCGCAGGCCAAGGAATCAAGCTAACTGCTCAAGCTAGCGCGGCAGACTTTGGAACGACGCTAGCCGCCGAAACTAGCGCCGCAGGATAAAGGTTCAGGCCGGCCCCTGAAACTAGCGCCGTGGGCTGTGGAAGGAAGCTAGCCGGGGAAGCTAGCGCCGCGGGCCCAAGGTCAGAGCTAGCCCTTCAAAACTGCGCTCAAGCTTGCGCCGCAGGCTTTAGAACGAAGCTAGCCGCTCAAGCTAGCGCCGCAGGCTTTAGAACGAAGCTAGCCGCTCAAGCTAGCGCCGCAGGCTTTAGAACGAAGCCAGCCGCTCAAGCTAGCGCCGCAGGCTTTAGAACGAAGCCAGCCGATCAAGCTAGCGACGCAGGCTTTAGAACGAAGCCAGCCGCTCAAGCTAGCGACGCAGGCTTTAGAACGAAGCCAGCCGCTCAAGCTTAGCGCCGCAGGCTTTAGAACGAAGCCAGCTGCTCAAGCTAGCGACGCAGGCTTTAGAACGAAGCTAGCCGCTCAGCTAGCGACGCAGGCTTTAGAACGAAGCCAGCCGCTCAAGCTAGCGACGCAGGCTTTAGAACGAAGCCAGCCGCTCAAGCTTAGCGCCGCAGGCTTTAGAACGAAGCCAGCTGCTCGCTAGCGCCGCAGGCTTTAGAACGAAGCCAGCCGCTCAAGCTAGCGCCGCAGGCTTTAGAACGAAGCCAGCTGCTCAGCTAGCGCCGCAGGCTTTAGAACGAAGCCAGCCGCTCAAGCTAGCGACGTAGGCTTTAGAACGAAGCCAGCCGCTCAAGCTAGCGCCGCAGGCTTTAGAACGAAGCCAGCCGCTCAAGCTAGCGCCGCAGGCTTTAGAACGAAGCCAGCCGCTCAAGCTTAGCGCCGCAGGCTTTAGAACGAAGCCAGCCGCTCTGCTAGCGACGCAGGCTTTAGAACGAAGCCAGCCGCTCAAGCTAGCGCCGCAGGCTTTAGAACGAAGCCAGCCGCTCAAGCTAGCGACGCAGGCTTTAGAACGAAGCCAGCCGCTCAAGCTTAGCGCCGCAGGCTTTAGAACGAAGCCAGCCGCTCAAGCTAGCGCCGCAGGCTTTAGAACGAAGCCAGCCGCGCAAGCTAGCGACGCAGGCTTTGGAACGAAGCCAGCCGCTCAGCCAGCGCCGCAGGCTTTAGAACGAAGCCAGCCGCTCGCTTAGCGCCGCAGGCTTTAGAACGAAGCCAGCCGCTCGCTTAGCGCCGCAGGCTTTAGAACGAAGCCAGCCGCCTGCTAGCGACGCAGGCTTTAGAACGAAGCCAGCCGCTCAAGCTAGCGACGCAGGCTTTAGAACGAAGCCAGCCGCTCAAGCTAGCGCCGCAGGCTTTAGAACGAAGCCAGCCGCTCAGCTTAGCGCCGCAGGCTTAGAACGAAGCCAGCCGCTCAAGCTAGCGCCGCAGGCTTTGTGAACGAAGCCAGCCGCTCAAGCTAGCGCCGCAGGCTTTAGAACGAAGCCAGCCGCTCAAGCTAGCGCCGCAAGCTTTAGAACGAAGCCAGCCGCTCAAGCTAGCGACGCAGGCTTTAGAACGAAGCCAGCCGCTCAAGCTTAGCGCCGCAGGCCAACGAATAAAGCCAACCATTGAAGCTAGCGCCGCAGGCTTTAGAACGAAGCCAGCCGCTCAAGCTAGCGACGCAGGCTTTAGAACGAAGCCAGCCGCTCAAGCTAGCGCCGCAGGCTTTAGAACGAAGCCAGCCGCTCAAGCTAGCGCCGCAGGCTTTAGAACGAAGCCAGCCGCTCAGCTTAGCGCCGCAGGCTTTAGAACGAAGCCAGCCGCTCGCTTAGCGCCGCAGGTTTTAGAACGAAGCCAGCCGCGCAAGCTAGCGACGCAGGCTTTAGAACGAAGCCAGCCGCTCAAGCTAGCGCCGCAGGCTTTTAGAACGAAGCCAGCCGCTCGCTTAGCGCCGCAGGCTTTAGAACGAAGCCAGCCGCTCGCTTAGCGCCGCAGGCTTTAGAACGAAGCCAGCCGCTCGCTAGCGACGCAGGCTTTAGAACCAAGCCAGCCGCCTCGCTAGCGACGCAGGCTTTAGAACGAAGCCAGCCGCTCAAGCTAGCGCCGCAGGCTTTAGAACGAAGCCAGCCGCTCAAGCTTAGCGCCGCAGGCTTTAGAACGAAGCCAGCCGCTCAAGCTTAGCGCCGCAGGCTTTAGAACGAAGCCAGCCGCTCAAGCTAGCGCCGCAGGCTTTAGAACGAAGCCAGCCGCTCAAGCTAGCGCCGCAGGCTTTAGAACGAAACCAGCCGCCTAAGCTAGCGCCGCAAGCTTTAGAACGAAGCCAGCTGCCTGCTTAGCGCCGCAGGCTTTAGAACGAAGCCAGCTGCTCGCTTAGCGCCGCAGGCTTTATAACGAAGCCAGCCGCTCGCTAGCGCCGCAGGCTTTTATGAACGAAGCCAGCCGCTCAGCTAGCGCCGCAGGCTTTAGAACGAAGCCAGCCGCTCAAGCTAGCGACGCAGGCTTTAGAACGAAGCCAGCCGCTCAAGCTAGCGCCGCAGGCTTTAGAACGAAGCCAGCCGCTCAAGCTAGCGACGCAGGCTTTAGAACGAAGCCAGCTGCTCAAGCTAGCGCCGCAGGCTTTATAACGAAGCCAGCCGCTCAAGCTAGCGCCGCATGCTTTAGAACGAAGCCAGCCGCTCAAGCTAGCGCCGCAGGCTTTAGAACGAAGCCAGCCGCTCGCTAGCGCCGCAGGCTTTTGAACGAAGCCAGCCGCTCAAGCTAGCGACGCAGGCTTTAGAACGAAGCCAGCCGCTCGCTAGCGCCGCAGGCTTTAGAACGAAGCCAGCCGCTCTGCTAGCGACGCAGGCTTTAGAACGAAGCCAGCTGCTCAAGCTAGCGCCGCAGGCTTTATAACGAAGCCAGCCGCGCAAGCTAGCGACGCAGGCTTTAGAACGAAGCCAGCCGCTCAAGCTAGCGCCGCAGGCTTTAGAACGAAGCCAGCCGCCCAAGCTAGCGCCGCAGGCTTTAGAACGAAGCCAGCCGCTCAGCTAGCGCCGCAGGCTTTAGAACGAAGCCAGCCGCTCAAGCTAGCGACGCAGGCTTTAGAACCAAGCCAGCCGCTCAAGCTAGCGACGCAGGCTTTAGAACGAAGCCAGCCGCTCGCTTAGCGCCGCAGGCTTTAGAACGAAGCCAGCCGCGCAAGCTAGCGACGCAGGCTTTAGAACGAAGCCAGCCGCTCAGCTAGCGACGCAGGCTTTAGAACGAAGCCAGCCGCTCAAGCTAGCGCCGCAGGCTTTAGAACGAAGCCAGCCGCGCAAGCTAGCGACGCAGGCTTTAGAACGAAGCCAGCCGCTCAAGCTAGCGCCGCAGGCTTTAGAACGAAGCCAGCCGCTCAAGCTTAGCGCCGCAGGCTTTAGAACGAAGCCAGCCGCTCAAGCTAGCGCCGCAGGCTTTAGAACGAAGCCAGCCGCTCAGCTAGCGACGCAGGCTTTAGAACCAAGCCAGCCGCTCAAGCTAGCGACGCAGGCTTTAGAACGAAGCCAGCCGCTCAAGCTAGCGCCGCAGGCTTTAGAACGAAGCCAGCCGCTCAAGCTAGCGCCGCAGGCTTTAGAACGAAGCCAGCCGCTCAAGCTAGCGCCGCAGGCTTTAGAACGAAGCCAGCCGCTCAAGCTAGCGCCGCAGGCTTTAGAACGAAGCCAGCCGCTCAAGCTAGCGCCGCAGGCTTTAGAACGAAACCAGCCGCTCAAGCTAGCGCCGCAAGCTTAGAACGAAGCCAGCCGCTCAAGCTTAGCGCCGCAGGCTTTAGAACGAAGCCAGCTGCTCAAGCTAGCGCCGCAGGCTTTATAACGAAGCCAGCCGCTCAAGCTAGCGCCGCAGGCTTTAGAACGAAGCCAGCCGCTCGCTAGCGCCGCAGGCTTTAGAACGAAGCCAGCCGCTCAAGCTAGCGACGCAGGCTTTAGAACGAAGCCAGCCGCTCAGCTAGCGCCGCAGGCTTTAGAACGAAGCCAGCCGCTCAAGCTAGCGACGCAGGCTTTGAGAACGAAGCCAGCTGCTCGCTAGCGCCGCAGGCTTTATAACGAAGCCAGCCGCCTGCTAGCGCCGCATGCTTTAGAACGAAGCCAGCCGCTCAAGCTAGCGCCGCAGGCTTTAGAACGAAGCCAGCCGCTCGCTAGCGCCGCAGGCTTTAGAACGAAGCCAGCCGCTCAAGCTAGCGCCGCAGGCTTTAGAACGAAGCCAGCCGCTCAAGCTAGCGACGCAGGCTTTAGAACGAAGCCAGCCGCTCAAGCTAGCGCCGCAGGCTTTAGAACGAAGCCAGCCGCTCAAGCTAGCGACGCAGGCTTTAGAACGAAGCCAGCTGCTCAAGCTAGCGCCGCAGGCTTTATAACGAAGCCAGCCGCTCAAGCTAGCGCCGCAGGCTTTAGAACGAAGCCAGCCGCTCAAGCCCAGCGCCGCAGGCTTTAGAACCAAGCCAGCCGCTCGCTTAGCGCCGCAGGCTTTAGAACGAAGCCAGCTGCTCGCTTAGCGCCGCAGGCTTTATAACGAAGCCAGCCGCTCAAGCTAGCGCCGCAGGCTTTAGAACGAAGCCAGCCGCTCAAGCTAGCGCCGCAGGCTTTAGAACGAAGCCAGCCGCTCAAGCTAGCGACGCAGGCTTTAGAACGAAGCCAGCCGCTCAAGCTAGCGCCGCAGGCTTTAGAACGAAGCCAGCCGCTCAAGCTAGCGACGCAGGCTTTAGAACGAAGCCAGCCGCTCGCTAGCGCCGCAGGCCAACGAATAAAGCCAACCATTGAAGCTAGCGCCGCAGGCTAAGGAAGGACTTAACCGCTTAAAATTGCGCCGCAGGCTTTTAGATTGAAGCTAGCCGCTCAAGCTTAGCGCCGCAGGCCAAAAAATGAGGCTAATCCCTCAAGCTTGGGCCGCAGGACGAGGTAGCGACTTAGCCGATCAAACATGCGCCGCAGGCCTAATAACGACACTAGTGATTTCAGCTTGCGCCGCATGTCAATACAAATAGGTTCGCGTGGGAATGCGTTTTCCTTTCTTCAGGGTGACTTTGTGTGGAAGGGCGCTCGATTCATAGGGCCTAGACTGGGTCCAGCGGTGGAGAGTCGCGAAGCGGCTCCTCCCCGCTGGTCGTGTATAATACGCTAAGTTTATCGATATATCCTAGGTTTTACTTACGTATTAGCTTTGTCTTCTTCTTTCCCTTATAATATCGTAATACATGCCTGAATCTCATCTCTGTACGGCTGAGGGTAGCGTCCACCCTCAAATGCGTCTCGGAAGAACGACTCGAGGACCTCGAAAAGCGGAAGATCTCCGACGATCATAGCGACCATTTGCTAAAAAAATCGAACTTAAGGATTAGCTTTTGTATGGTCACTATCTATGCGAGGATAATCAAAATTACACCAATATTTTAAAAATCTGTAATATATATCTTACATTATCAGTTTACAAGAACTTACACGCAACACATCAAGAACTGGCGGGATCTGGTCCTTGTAGACGCGAGCGATCTGGGCATATCGGGTCTTGGCCGGGGCATCGAGGTCGATGGTGAACCACGGGACCTGGAAATGATTTCATGTTAGGTACGGTAGTGTTAGTGCATTAAGGCAAGGAATCTTTGCTTTATAAAATTTAACGCAATAGTGACACTTTTCGACCGGTTTGCAGGTCACTAATAAGCTAGTTTGGCCATATTTTAGCATTTTCCCTTATCGAAATTATTCCCCCGTTTTTAAAGATCTGAAGTTTCTACCTTCTTCCCTCTGTACCCAGCCCGACAGCTGATGCGTTCCCACACCCATTATCACCAAAAACGCGCATGGCCCCGTTGAGTTTTCCGGACCAAAAAGACGGCAAGAACCGGACGCGTTCCGACGTAAAATTGGTGGAAATTCAGAGAGGAAGTGATATTTTAATTGACAGTCAGGAAAATCGCAAAATTTTCAATTCCGGAAACCTAAAAAAAACTTTTTGAATATGTGAATCTCCGTTTGCCTATGGAAAAACGGACAAGTCTGCTTTTTGTAAGTACCTGATCCGGAGAGGCAATCTGTTTTTAAGCTACAACAAAAACTCGGACGGCAAAATCTCAGTTTTTGCTTTTCGGGAAGCCGCAAAAAAACAACATTTTAATTCCCCGATCAAATTACGTATTCAAGGTTCCGGTAAACATCCATTTCCGATTTCCAGATCCGGGAAACGCCGTATTTCAGATATTAGGTTGTACCATAAGTAACTGCAGTTTTTTGATCGTAAAATTTTCATGTAAGCCACCATTCATTCTTTCCAATTTTTCAAGCTGATGAAGGGTCATGTGTTGTCTGTCTGCAGTTATAACGATAGCCCGGGACTCCCACAACTTTTCGAATTATCCAGAGAAGACTGCGCGCAACTCGACTTTTGAGTTATTTCGTTTGCGTGACGGATAGCGTGGGTGATCTTAACACTAGCGCCCTGAATAAGCGGCAGTAGATAGAGAAATTTCTGCGCTATAAAGTGTATTGAACAAAATTTTGGTACCCAGTAGCATGACTTTTTCCAGGTCATTTTTGAAAGATGTCAAATTCGGCTTTTGGGCCCCGAATCGTCAAATTTCTTTGTTGACCGTTTTCTCCGAGTTTTGTGGATAACTTTTTGAGCAAGTTTTAACAAAATGGAGCTTAGCTATAGCTGCTTCAAGCCTATAGGTTATTTAAAACAAATGTTCCATATGGGTCTCTCAAAGAAACATAACCCGGAATTTCGGTACATTTTCCATGAATTTTTGTTTCCCTGAATGTTTGGGTTTGGAGCATCGGTAATTGTAGTACAGTATCTACTACCAATGCCCAATAATAATAAATTATAGAAAATATTTGATTGGCAATGATTAAAGAGTAGCGACCGCAACTGTGTGTCGCCGGCACATTTCAGGGTTGGTCACTTGTTGATACACTAATTGGCAAAAATTGTTGAAGTAAAGGAGGGAGTGATGCAAGCTGGTATTAGGACAATGTTTGTCATTAAATGTTGCTTAGATGTAATCAGTCAGCTTTAATTTGATTCGTCTCAAAAAATTGATAAGCTCCTGTTAGCCAAGCGCATCGGGAATTGGAATTTTTCTCCAAAGTACCAGGGTTGAAAAACCGCTTCGCGGCTTTTCAACCCTGGCCCCGTCCAGGACCTGTGAAAGTCCTTAATTTGCATGTTTCTTCCTGAATTCTAGCAAGAAAAAAAGTGAAAAACGGCTCCCCTGTCCCTTTATATAGGCTCTTCCTACTTCCGGCGCATGCTAATTTCCCCTAACAAACAGGGTTTTACAAAAACCTATTTTTAATAGCGAAAACCGCGATTTTTCAAAGTTTTTATGTGTGTGCAGTCGATTCCGGACCATTCTAAACCTATTGTCGTTTCTTCCCTATCCAAAAAACCCTTCCCCAAGGCTGTAGGAGCGGAACATCCGAACGGAAGTGCATGCAAATATACACACACACACACACAAACACTATTTTTTTATATCTCCAAAGTATCATGAATATCGGCTGATTAGAAATACGTGGGGCCAATTGAGCACCACAGCTAAGAACATATTAAACTGGCATTATATATTACAAAATACGCTTGGGGGATTTCGGTGCTAAGAATTTTTACATGGCTCGAAAGGAAGAGGGGGCCGGGATGTCGCTCCCTCGGGTCGATGGGCGCCTCGGGGAAAACATTTATAAAAAATGTTTTACAGGCAGGATTTTTTCGAAATTTTTAGGGCATATAGTACCCTTCTAGTCTAAACAGAGGGCTAGAAACGGGATAACCAGATGGTGAAATTTTTCCGGAAAAGGCGGCCGAAGGTCGTCTGCAGTTACTTATGGTACAACCTAATACAAACCTGAGACGGGTCGGCCTCCTTGAAAAGGTCCGGCTCGTCGATGCGGCACTCCGGAGCGTACGGGGCTGGCGGAGGCTTTACGGCTTTCTTGGCGGCCTAGAATGTCATCCATATTTTAATTTTTACAACAACTAGGCCTAACAACAACGATACCGTTTTTTTCAGACAACATACTAAAAATAGGCAAAATTCAGTCAAAAATTAGCAATGAAATTTTGAAAAAACACAAAAAATGGCTATTCATTTGTAAATAAAGATTTAATTATATTCTCTATTTAATAAGGTGATATCTATTTGCATAAAATATATGTTACCCATTTGAAAAAAATCTTAAAAATCTCCCAAATCGTTTTATTACCTTTTCAGGCGTTTTTCAGTATTTGGATCCTATTTAGCATACGATCAGGGATACAAATAGACAGGAGTTTTGCTAGAAAAACACTTTACAAAAAATGTCAAAGATCACATAGTACCAAAAACTAATTGGGCTTCCCATTCCAGGTGCCAGATTCCAGATGCTTGATGAGCCGAATAATGAGGAGATTAAGCCAAGATCAGGACCATTATAACCCCAAAAACGCACCACCGCTGCCAGCAACGCGACGAAAACAAAGACCAACAACGGCCGGCCCATCTTCTTCAGCAGCCCGATTCTATCCGCGACTTTCCAGTAGTCGGAGCTGTGAATCTGTGGCCCCGTTAATCTTCGCCCCACTGACGCGTTATCACCTCGTATCTTACCGCCCCGGCAGCCATCTGCTTACCCTCGGGATCCCGCGTTTTTTTGTTTGTAGCCTGGACTGACAACAGATTTTTGAGCCACAACAGGTGCAGATCACGGAATCGGCACATTAAAGGCATTGGAAAAGAGAACTTAAGATGTTAGAATAGTCTATTACCAAAAAATTCAGCCGAAAGCCTAGTTTTTGTTTGTAGCCCGGACTGACAACAGATTTTTGGAGCCACAGTAGTTGCAGATCAAAGGGAAGGTAGCGTAAATGCATTGGTAAGGTCTTCAAGATCAATATTTCAAAAAATTTGCGTCTAGCTAATACTAGGAAATGGCCACAGAGGTTAATTTATGCAAAGTTTTCCCTTTTGAAACGTGATTTCCGAAAAACATGGTTTTCGAGAAATTTTTTACCGCCCCTTTTAGCAGCCGGAAACGCCTGAGAAAGAATTACGATAGGAAACCGCGTATCCAGCGAATTACCGGATTAACGTTTTGTGCAAAATTTTTACAAAAAAGTCTTCTGTAGGGTTGTAAACAGGGTTGGTCATTTTTGACCCGGGTCGGACCGGACCTGACGGACCCGGACCCACCCGGACCCGCAGAAATTTGCATGGGGACGGGTCCGGGTCCGGGTCCGGGTCCGGAAGTTGCGTATTTGCATTTATTTGAGATAGAGATTTAGGATTCTAATTTTCCTCGGAAAAAGACAACGGTATTAATTATAACCAGGGTTGAAAAGCCGCTACGCGACTTTTCAACCCTGGCCCCGTTTGGGCCCATGATATTCTTCACTTTGCATAATTCGCCCGGGCTGCGATGAAAAAATAATGAAAAACGCTCCCTCTGCCCCTTAATATAGACCACCACCACTTCCGGCGTATGCAAATTGTTTCCTAACAAAGAGGATGCCCGAAAATTTCACAAAAACCTAAATTTAATGTCGAAAATAGCATAATTTGCAAAATCTGATAAGCTTGCAGTCATCCCAGAGCCATTACGCACCTAATGACGTATCATACATACCTAACAATTCATCCCCTATCGAGATATCCTCCGGACACGCTGACGGAAGTTGCATGCAAAGTGTCATACACACACACACACACAGACACTATTTTTTTATATATAGTAGGATGGTTTATCCGGTATGATTCAGGTATATAGGAGTCGAGACCAGAACATCAAATCACATCGGATGGAGCCCCCATCCGAAGTTAGCAGACGTGAGAAATGTCGTGCAATATCGTGGAATTTATCCAGAAATCGGCATGCAAATGACCCGGACCCACCCGGACCCGGACCCGGACCCGGACCCATGCAAATTTGATCGGGTCCGGACCCGGACCCGGACCCCCCGGGTCCGGACCGGGTCCGGGTCCGGGTCAAAAAAGACCAACCCTGGTTGTAAATACCTTTAAAAAATATCAGGACACCACGAAGTCGAGTTTTTTACGGATTTACTGTCTTAAGTTACGTCCCATCGATACATCAACAGCTTGCCTTTTTGAGATACGATGTGTAGAATATGCGATGATGTCGTGGTCGCCAGGTTTCTTGGATAATCTACAAATTTCAGGATTCCGTTAACCACCTGGCCTCCACCTGCAAAAACCAGGCTTTTCCAAATTCATGAAAATTTCAACTACAGTTTTATGACCGCTTTCCACAGCATAAATTTTCATTGGACGTTTTGTGTACGTTTTTATAAAACCGACAATATAGCTGGCGAAATGCCTAGACTGATGGGAAAAAACAACGGTGGGGCTAGGCTACGTTTCTAACAAGGGAACCTCAAGTTGGCACGGTGAAATTTCGAAAAACGCTTGCGGCTACCCCGGGTTTTCGACTATGGCGATTCCAACGCTCTAGCCATAATTTCCTAAATGTTTCTTCCTTTTCCTTAATTTCCACTCGACCGTTCAACTGGTGATTCCATAGTGATGGGCGGGCCTCATAAACCTATC